TTATTATATTTCCTTCAAGTTTCGTCTCTGATAATGCGACAATATCTGGGACCCTAAGCTGGATTATATCTTGCAACTCCAAAGTTTTTGATCTCACTTCATATATGTTGGTAAATACAATTTTCAGGAACATGTTCCCTTTTCCTTTGCTCTTTACTCCCTCTTCCACTACTGATCTTGTTGCTTTGTTTTTATGTACCATTTCACAAGCTTTCCAGTCCCTGTCACTTTGTAAAAAAAAGAATTTCTGTCTTCTTCATTTTTATCCCCATTTAGACGTTTTGCCTCAATTAGGTTCATTTTCAGCTTTTCTGTCTTCCTTGGAGAGGTCTTGTCTTATTGACCAAAGTTTACCAACCTCATCACTCTGCAATTTCCTGGCATTTCTTAGCACATCCATCATGTTTTTCACTCCATTAAACGTCACCCTTAAGGGGCGGTTCTTTTCTTTCTCATATTTTCCTATTCTTCTAAAATCACTGACATTTTCCTTTGAACCTTCTCCCAAACCTACTATTTTCTCTATGATTTTCATCTCTTCTGCGGCTCTGTCCACCCTAGATGAAATTTCCTTCTCTAAACATCCAAAAATGATTATGGACTTAGTTCTATCTGCAGTGTTTTGTACCAGTTTACTGTTGGTAACCAGTTCTTTCCTAATTGCTTGCCTAATTTCTGCTTCTTGTTGGTCATTTCTGGTTTTGACTTCTGAACACACTTCTTTGATAGTCTCTTTCTCTTTTACAACTTGAGCATATGTCAGTTTTATTTCTTCTTTATACTTTTCTAGTTCTTTATTCACCTCCTCTATGTGAATTGTCAGTGAAGTTTCCAGTTGGAGATCCTTACCTAACTCTATGTTAGCCCTAAGGCTTGCTTGGAGTTGTTCACCATACGAGTCTATTTTCTTGTTTATTTCTTCAAAGTCACCACACTTCACTTTCCACGCCTCATTTTCTTTCACTAGTTCCTTGATTTGCTCCTCCTGATTTGTTACCTTATCTGTTAATGCAGTAATAATCTTACCTTGCTGAAGAATACTCCCTTTTAGAGTGCAAAGCTCACTCCTAAGAGCTCCATTGTCCTCTTCCAATTTAAGCACTTTTTCTTCATACTTCTTTTGCATATCCTCAATTATCTCTAACCTGCCAAGAACACCTCCTTTCCTTATATCTTGTGGTGAGAATCCTTTGAAGCCATCATCTGTTGGTGTGTCTACATTCCCAGTGGTGGTGGTGGTGGCGGCGGCCATCTTTGTTTTTGTTCTAGAACCAAATTGTCTGCTCCTGTGCGTTCTTGTGTTGCTTTGAGTTGCAGCCTGTTGTCTCGGCTTCACGTTGCGGAGTTTGTGGCGGCCGCCTCCCGGATCAGCCCTTTCTTTTCCTTCTCTTTGGGTATGAAGCTCCAAGGAGCCATAGGGGCTCCCCACAGAAAACCAGTGTTGAATGTAATGAAACGCCATTTTCTGAGTGAACCCCGGAGGCTCCCTAGCAACCCTTCCTCCCACTGGTCGGCTTTTTTTTTTTTTTTTCGTTGGTTGAAGCTTAGCTTCCGAACTGGTGCAAGGCAGCCAGCGCGGTGAGGTCCGGGGCCCCCTTCCCCTCTCAAGGCGGGGAGGACTGCGCGGACAATCGGCGCGGCAGTAAAGTGTGATGTTTGCTTGTTTCCTTGGGATTGTTGGGAGTTCTACCTCTCTGTTCATTTTTTGGTTTTAGTTTTTTACCATGTGGGGTTTGTTTTATTATGCCTATCTTTCTGGGTGCCTAACCCTGGTCGATGGCAGATAAGGCAGTAAGTAAGTAATTATCAAAAGAAGGCACCAAACCGGGAAGGCTATGTAGCACCATCAAATGTGCAGAATAATCAGAGGGGGCTAAATATCACCAAGGATGCTAATACGGGAAACAAAACGCATAAGGCGAACGATATCAAAAGTATCCGAGTCACCAAGAATTCTATTGAGGGACAGGTGACCGCGAGGGGCGGTCGGAAAGCAAGACACACGCTCGTCCTGGAAGTCAGGACATTCAAGGACATGCACGACCGTAAGAGGGACAATGCAACTAGGACAATAAGGAGCAGGGCGGCGCTCCATCAAGTGACCATGGGTTAAGCGAGTATGGCCAATACGCAACCTCGCCAGAGTCGTTTCCCAACGCCGGTTACGGTGGTAGGAGGACGGCCACGAGGAAACACAACATTTAAGAGTACGAAGTTTGTTACCAGTAACAGACGACCAAGAAGCCTGCCAATGGGTAAGGACGGAGGAATGGATAACCGGGTAAAAGTCGGAATATGGAATACCTTTATGAGAGATGGGACAAGAGCGGACAGCTTCCTTGGCGGCAGCATCCGCACGCTCATTTAAAGACACACCAATATGGCTGGGAACCCAACAAAACTCAACCGACTTAAATTTACTGTGAACAAGAAACGGCCAATGCTGGATCTCGACAACTACTGGATGAACCGGATTAAAGGACCCGAGAGCCATGAGGGCACTACGAGAGTCAACAACAACTACAAAGGAAGACTGACAACGAGAAAGCAGGAGACGAAGAGCATAGAGAATAGCATAAAGCTCTGCTGTAAAGATGCTAGTCTCCGGAGGTAAGCGACACATATAAGTGCGATCAGGAAAAACAACAGAGTAGCCAACACCATCCGCAGACTTAGACCCATCGGTGAAGACAGAAACGGAGCGGGAGTGAGAAGAAAAGTGCTCGAGGAAAAGGCGTTTTAGAACCGTAGGAGGGGTAAAAGCTTTAGTGATACGGGTCAAGGATGTACAAAACCGCGGAAGAGGGACTCTCCACGAGGGCAAAGAAGGAACAACACGAGGAGAAACATCAGAAATACGAACGTAAAGAGAATCCTGTAGGCGAGATAACCGGACAGAAAGAGGGAGGTGGTGAAGAGGAACAGGAACCGCAGGAGGGGTGAAAGTTAAAGCACGACAGAGGCGAGAGGAAGGATGTTGCAAGGACCACGCAAGATAGCGAAGACAGTAGCGATCACGGCGGTCCTGGAGAGACAGGAAGCCAGTGTCAACATACAAGCTAAGGATGGGAGTCGAACGAAAGGCACCAGAACTGAGGCACAACCCAGTATGGTGCAAAGCATCAAGACGGCGAAGAGTAGAAGGAGAAGCAGACGAGTAAGCAGGGCAACCATAATCGAGCTTAGACAGGACGAGAGAGGAATGTAAAGCAAGGAGAGTGCGCCTATCTGCCCCCCAAGAAGTAGGGGACAAGACCCGAAGGAGGGTAAGGGTCTTAGAGCACTTAACACGGAGGTAAGAGATATGGGGAGACCAAGACAAACGAGTGTCAAGGAATAACCCCAAAAGCTTCGCGGAATCTTTGTATTCAAGGGGATGACCATAAAGTGACAAAGAGGGACAAAGAACGACCCATTTCCGCGTAAAAGTCATGGCACAAGTCTTAGAAGGAGAGAACTTAAAGTCATGATCGGTGGCCCAGCAGATAAGGAAAACCCCAACCACAAGGGGGTTTTCCAGGGCCATTGCTCTCTGAAACCTCTCTGAAGAGGCCAGAGGTTTGGCGCTGGTCCCTGATAGGTCTGAACTCCTTAGCTAATGTCCCGGTCTAATATAACATACTGTACATTAGCCCAATAAGCTTCAGGGAGCCTCCGGGGCTCACCCAGAAAATGGCGTTTCATTACATTCAATGCTGGTTTTTTAAGGTTATCAGGAAAAGTATGATACTAGAAATTTATTGAATAGCAGAGTTATAGGTGATGCAAGTGCATAAGTGACACTTTTATAGTCATTTAATTCATTTGTTTATTCATTAATTATTGTTAATTCATTAGTTGGAATTCTAATATTCCTAGCTTTGGTTTTATGTGAGTGAATTATGGATATAATGTCCATCAGGCTGACTAGTAAAAGGAGTAGAGTTAGGATAGCTGCAGGTGAGATATGCAGTAACATGTGTCTGGGTGTCTGGGATTTTTCTGGCAAGGGTAGCACTAATTGATGGAAAGAAGCTATTAAATTCAGTTGCAATTTCTAAGTCTGTTGCAAGTGTGTAACCATACTTAGAGAGTTTTATCTACATGTCATCGATGCTATATTGTTTATTTCTTCTATATTTTATTTAAAATTTTATAACTTGGATAGGCTAATTAAGTAAATAGTTCCTCAAGAAACAAATGGAAGTAGCATGCTGGCTTGTATGCAATAATTAAAACCACATGCTTCTAATAATAAATAAATAAATGTTTATTTAGGTAAGGTACATTGATGGAATTATAGATAGAGCTAGTACATACAATGCCTAAAGCCACTATTACGCAAAGCGTTTCGGGCATGAAAAACATTAATGACTAAATCTTAATACTAATTGAGTTTAAATGAAATGAGTCTAAATCTTAATACTAATACTTCTTTGTATGTAAACTGGTCTACTACACTACCTACATTTGTATATAATATCTTGTAAAGTGTCCTCAAATGGATTGCTTTTATGTAAGGGGTCTTGCAGCAATGCATTCTTTTGTAAAGCAGTCTCTTGACTGTCAATAATATTCCCTTAACACCTTGTATTACAGTACATGGAAGGTCTGTTGGGCTAACTTTTGACACTGATCTTCAACTTGTCAAGGTCTCTCTTAGTTGTATATTGTTTATATTACAGATACTTGATACTCAAATTTAAAGTAGTAATATATTTTAAAGAAGATTTTCATATATTTGACTTACATGCTAGACGGTTAAAGCTAAAATTTTACACAAGATTTTCTTGGTCTAGATAATTCAGATAATTTATCACCTAATTCTCATTAGGTGATAAATCTTTTGTTACATATTTCCACTGTAGCTTTCAGTTTCAAAGCCCATCAAATTTGAGACTAGTTTTGCATAAATAAAGGTATCCTTAATTATTCATGGTGAAATATCCTTTCATACTTCAATAAGCCCACCTGATTAGCTATATTTGGCAATGAGGTAAATTTTATTTACAATTTTGCAGGTTCCTTTTCATGGTTTTCCAAATGGCACCGCTCATTTTCTGTCAGAGAAAATAGCCACCTCTGCAGAGGAAGTTCGAGGTATGCCTTACTGTTGTGTGTGTTTCATCAGTTTTCTGAGTGATATTTTACTACTGTTTCTAAACACATTATAGAATTAGAATTCATTTCATGTACTGTAGACCCTCTGCAAAAGGTATGAGGACCCTTGTAGAGTTGTCAGCATTGCTACTCCAGAGGTGCCTGGGGCAGAGCCATTGTCCACTCCTACCACCTGGGATAGAAAAGTGGAGTCCAAGGGAGAGGCTTCAAAAAAAGAAGGGACTGGCTGAGGAAAAGAATAGCCTGAAGCCTCAGCGAGACTGGTTGGCTTAGCTGCCTCCATGCCTGAATTAGAAGGGGGCAAACCCCATAGCTGACCAAAAGCCATATTAAGGGTTAAACCCATGTTCTGACCCCGAAACCTTCAGATGCTTCACAGCTGGAAGCAAAGGGGGGGGGGGGGAGATCAGAGGATTGGTGAACCACACTCAAAGGGGGGAAGGAAGAGGTTCAGTTAACCAGAGGTTGAGTTAACCAACACCCCCAAATCCAGGCCCCTAAACATCAAATGCAGTCACCGTGGCATATTGATAAGACGCTCGCCTAGCGTTTTGCAAGTTCTTTGTCCTGGGTTTGTATCTTGGCCGGGGAGGATTTACTGGGTGCAAGTCCTTAACTGTAGCCTCTGTTTACCCAACAGTAAAATTTGTACCTGGTTGTTAAACGATTTGGCGGGTCATATTCTAGGGAACATAGGATTAAGGACTTGCCCAAAATGCTATGGGTGCTAGTGGCTGTACAAGAATGTAAAATGCTTGTATATATAAATAAATAAATAAATAAAAATAAATAAAAATGGGGCAGCTCCAGGGCATCCAAACAGGCACACAACTTAGACCGCTGCAATACAGAATACCTAGGTCACCAGGTGGTCGACTAATGTGCTCTAGCCTAATCAGGAAGGTCAGAAAGAAGAGTAACAAGCCGGGAACAAATCCCATTGATTCAGGGGTCAAAGGTGTCACTGACAAAACAGGCAGCATGCTGGAGGCAGAAGGAATGAACAACGTATCATGACATGGATGATGTGCCATCCAGGAAAAGTAGCCCTATAGGAAGCACTTTTCACTTCCCCACAGAAAACCAGCATTGAATGTAATGAAACGCCATTTTCTGAGTGAGCCCCGGAGGCTCTCTGGCAACCCTCCTTCCCACCCTCCCTCTGGTCGGTGGTTTAACATGTTGTTTGATGCTGAGCTTCCGCACTGGAGTGCTGGGTAGCCGGTGTGGGGAGTACCGGGACTCCCCTCTCCCTCTCTCGGGGAAGAGAGGGGACGGCTGGCCAGACGAGCAGCATGGCAGTTGAGTGTGACGTTTACTTGTTTGCTTGTTTTCTTTGGATTGGAGGGAGTTCTACCTTTCCGTTTGGTTTTTCTTTATACTTTTATCATGTGGGGTTTGTTTTATTATGCCTACTTTTTCTGGGTGCCTAACCCTTGTCGATGGCAGATAAGGAAAACCCCCCAACCACAGAGGGTTTTCCAGGGCCATTGCTCCATGCAATCTCTCTGAGGGGGCCAGGTTCTGGCTCTTGATCCCTGGTAGGTTGAATTCAATAGACTAATGCCCTGATCTAATATATCACACATTAGCTCGATAGCTCCAGGGAGCCTCCGGGTCTTACCCAGAAAATGGCATTTCATTACATTCAACACTGGTTTTTTGGTTGCTTTAACATCAGCTGTCATCAGTGGACAATGTCATACATACCAACATTAAAAATCCCAAAAATGCCCACATTGTTGTTATTTTCTGTGAAGACATTACCTTCTATTCTTAGGTTATTTTTATTCCTCCTTATGTGACTGTGAAACAGTTTGGGCTGCTTCTTTGATGCTGTAATTGTCTAGTGGTGTTTCAGTTTCCCTTCTGACTATGATGTACAGTTTTTCATCTTGGCTAATAAATGTTTACACAGTCGAGATCAGCATTGCCATAGTTACCACTCAGTTTTCCGTTTTGGTGTGCTCTACCTTTCTGGCGAGTTTCTCTTGGGTACTTTAGTTGATCCTACATTCCCAGACTCCTCTGTCTCTATCAAGAGGGGGTTAGATTCTGGTCTTGGTCTTTGGTTGGCACTCTCACATTTTTGAAGCTTGGTGTGGTTCTTAAGTATGTCAGCTGGTCATGTGGGTAGCAAGGCGACATACCAAAAAGACGAATTTCATTACATTTAACTTTTTTCTTTTTAATAAAGATCTACTGAAAATAAGTCTCCCTACCAGGGGAATTACCTTGTTGTTTTGCCTTGTTTTTAGGCTAAATATTTCTGAACTGCGTGTTAGAATACCTCCTCAGATTTATTTCATTGATTGCAGCCTTATGTTGTGGCATGACATAGGTGTATGTTATCTTGAGGTTATCTTGAGATAATCTCGGGGCTTTAGTGTCCCTGCGGCCCGGTCCTTGACCAGGCCTCCACCCCCAGGAAGCAGCCCATGACAGCTGACTAACACCCAGGTACCTATTTTACTACTAGGTAACAGGGGCATAGAGTTATCTTCTTGAGGTTATCTTGAGATGATTTCGGGGCTTTTTTCTAGTGTCCCCGCGGCCCGGTCCTCGACCAGGCCTCCACCCCCAGGAAGCAGCCCGTGACAGCTGACTAACACCCAGGTACCTATTTACTGCTAGGTAACAGGGGCATAGGGTGAAAGAAACTCTGCCCATTGTTTCTCGTCGGCGCCCGGGATCGAACCCGGGACCACAGGATCACAAGTCCAGTGTGTGCCCGGTTAAGGACCGGGCCGTAGGGACACTATAGCCCCGAAATCAACTCAAGATAACCTCAAAATAACCCTTCAAGAACAGTTTAACTTTAGGCAAGCTTTGAAATAAGATGATACCTATTCTTAGCAATACATAGCCCTAGCTTTTTCTACTTGTGTATACATCAGCCAAAATTGATAGTTATACAACAATACAATACAATACAATACAATTTTATTTAGGTAAGGTACATACATACAATAAATATTTACAAGGATTGTTTAACTTATAGGTATAGCTAGTACATACAATGCCTAAAGCCACTATTACGCAAAGCGTTTCGGGCATGAAGTTTCTATGAAGAGTATCATAAATTTGGTAATTCAACGCAGCTTCTGTGTTGTGACGCTTTCATAAATGTGGGAAATTTTTGGGCAGGTCTATTTTTCCAGTTTGACTCTTGAGGTTTTTATTTCAGCTTCACTGCCAAACCACATCAGTGTTCCAGCTACTAATACAAGACTCCTTCAGAGAAATCCAGCATTGCATGGAGTTCCTCTTGCTGCCCAGTATTTCATGGCACCATCAGTTAGTATGACACCACTTATGGCACCTACCATGACAGCAGCATCTCCTCAAAGCATGGCACTGTCTTCAGGAACTTACTTAGTACCCTCAGCTTCTTTGACAGGTATGTATATAAACAATGTTTTATTTGTAAATGCCTAATTTATATAAAAGTAATGAGCTATGCTTTTGATGTCCAATCTTCCTAATGTTCTTTAACATTTTGTTTTATTTTAACCCTTAAACTGCGCAACGCGCCTGCAGGCTCACGTCTGGTTTGCGCAACGCGCCTCCGGGTATTTGTATTTTTCACGTTCCATTCAAAACTCCCGCGGCTACATGGGGTTCACATCAGCTTCCTCAGGGCTCTTGTAAACAGACGCCATCTTTAAAAAAAATCGTGGTCCACATTCCCGGGTGTGGGAGCCTCAGTAGTGTGTGAGCAACCAAGGCTGGCGCTCGCAGCATGAGCGCACAGCACTGCTGTTCAGCATGTGACCACAGCATCGCCTAATAATGCCAAAATATATATATAACTTGTATTATTTAGCTATGATAGTGTTATATTAGAGCCTGAGTGTGATAATGACTGGGTACAATGTTCAAATATCAGTGATTCAATGCTGTTCACGATGTTCACAGCGCTAGCCACAGCACCACAGCATTATTTCGTTCATCTAGGAATCTTCAAATGATTTCTAAGGTTCCTTTTCAAAATAAACGTGTGGTCAATTATTCATTTACAGGAATTAGTGACCAGGATTGTGATAATAGCAGGATTGTGGTTATAATTAGCGTTGTGCGTAGTATTGTGGAAGGAGGAATTTTGATGAGGGAGGGCGAGAATTGAGGTAGCCTCATTGTGTGTGTGTGGCTGCCACTCTTGTTTTGCTCACCATACTAGCTTATTGGTTCGCTATGGGCAACACATATGTACATGGGTATATATAGTGTGTGTATATAGTGTAAGAACAGCAACAGGAGAATGTTGAGAGGAGCTATTTCGGTGAGGGAGGTGACGTAATCGTAGCGTCGTCTGCTGTGTGATTTTTCATGCAGTGTATGGTGGCCACTGTACTGTTTGGACACAATACCGGCTTACTTGCATAGTTCTGGTAAATAAAACATGTAGATAGGTATATAGAACATGTGTAATAAGAACTATAATAATATGGTGGGAGGAACAATGTTGGCGAGTAAGATGTTGGAGTGAGGGAGACTGGCTGGGTGTGGCTGCTCTCACTCGAGGTGTTCTGAATGTGTTCATGGTCAAATGCTCCTATTGGCCCATACGAGGCAGCTGCTATTGGCCCATACGAGGCAGCTGCTATTGGCCCATACGAGGCAGCTGCTATTGGCCCATACGAGGCAGCTGCTATTGGCCCATACAAGGCAGCTGCTATTGGCCCATACGCGGCAGCTGCTATTTGGCCCATACGAGGCAGCTGCTATTGGCCCATACGAGGCAGCTGCTATTGGCCCATACGAGGCAGCTGCTATTGGCCCATACGAGGCACTGCTGCTATTGGCCCATACGAGGCAGCTGCTATTGGCCCATACGGGGCAGCTGCTATTGGCCCATACGGGGCAGCTGCTATTGGCCCATACGGGGCAGCTGCTATTGGCCCATACGAGGCAGCTGCTATTGGCCCATACGAGGCAGCTGCTATTGGCCCATACGAGGCAGCTGCTATTGGCCCATACGAGGCAGCTGCTGTTGGCCCATACGGGGCAGCTGCTGTTGGCCCATACGAGGCAGCTGATATTGGCCCATACGAGGCAGCTGCTATTGGCCCATATGAAACAGCTGCTACGCGGTGTTCTGAATGTGTTGATGGTGAATGTATATAGTGTGTGACAGTGTATAGTGTGTAAATAGATTGTATATATACACAAATTAGCATGATACATAGTAAATATGTGCTGCATATGTGCGCACAAGTTTCATGCACGTAACACAGTGTCTACGGACAGTACGGATGTTGTACTGCGATATTATAGTGTACGTGTTCATTATACATTGGATTGGCACATAAAAACAATGAAAATGTATTTGGAAAGGTGCGCAAAAAATGAACGAAAATATATTCGCGGCAACTCGCGCACCCCGCCCCGAGCGCCCCACCGCCCCCGAGAGCTTACGGCACGGGCGCACGGGGAATGATGACGTCACGCCCCAACTTCCGGACCCCATAGCAGCCAAAGTAAGTACAATTTCGATTTTTTTTTTACATACCCATACTGAGGGAAGGGTTTTTGACACTTTAAAAAGAAAAAAGAATTTTTTCCAGATAATTTATTTCCTGCGCACTGCGGGGGTGTCACATTTGGAGGCAACGCAGTTAAGGGGTTAACTAGAATTTATTTTTAGATGCATTTTAATAAAACATCTGGTGTTATTCTTCAGCTGTATCTTGCTTCTTTTAGGCTCCATTTAGATTATGCAGTTCAGTTTTGGTCACCATACTATAGAATGGACATAAATTCACTAAAACGAAAGCTGGCCTGATGGGCTCACACACATATAGCATAGCGTCAACACAGGTGACAGGTATTGCCATAATGCCTCCAATATAACATGTCTATTGCCAACTCTAGGTACAATGTTGCTATTATTATCAACATCCTGAATATGAATAATTTTTTTACAAGTTCATTTTCTATAGGAACATGAGGTTCCATTTCCTGATGCATAGATGCACCAAACTACGACTGTGTGATATGGATGTCTGCCTCATTCTGGGAACATCCTGACCAGCATTGGGTTCAGATATTGAACCTTAATCATAGTTCTTATCAGAGTCAATATCTTTTATGATACTATCATTACTAAATAATTGCAGTTATTTATTTCATAATTATTTAGTGATGCTGTGGACATGAGCGGCATAGTAGTGCTGTGAGCTGCTGCTGCATGTGCTACTTATGGTTACCTTCTTAGTACTGAGAACCTCACACCCACGAGGGATGCCTATAATGTTTTTCCAAGACGGCATTTGTTTACTTGAAGGCCTGAGGAAGCAGATGTGAGGTCTGTGAATCTACAGAAGTTTTAAATCTTGTGCATTATTTTAAAGCTTCAAACAACACATGGACAAAGGAGGAACTAGATAACAAACGAGAGCCTCATAATGGTCATGAGAGAGATTATAGTAGAAGCAGATTAAAGATAAATCACCATTGTTGGTACTGGGGGACTTAAACTTGAAAGCAATAGACTGGGAGACCTACAAAGCAAGAACGGAGGACATTTAAACAGGCAGATTTGAAAACCTCATTCTGGAGACATTCATGTATCAACATGTCAAGCAGGCCACAAGAATGAGGGAAGGGAATGTTCCGTCAATACTGAATCTAATAGTCACCAGGAAAGAAGAGGAGATATTTGACTTCCAGTACCTTCCTCCCTTAGGAACGGGTAATCATATCCTGTTGGAAACTAAATACACTTTGTGATATTATCTAGAAGAAAATATGCTAAGTGAGAAGGTGGTGGAGAGCAAAACCAATTACAGTGGAACCTCGGGTAACGAGCAGCCCCATCTACGAGCATTTCAGGTAACGAGCGAGCCATTCACAGAAAATTTGTCTCGACTGATGAGCTTCCACTCGGTTAATGAGAAAACAACGTGGTTCTTCCTAGCATTTCCACGCTGGATCTCGCAAATTCTCGGATACCTCCGACGACAGTGTTGTTTTATTACCCAGGATAAGCATCGCTTTGCATTTATTTGTGCTTTTCTTTGTTTTTTTTTTTTGTGGTATTTTGACTACAATTTGTAACCCACAGTGTCACCAAAGAAGCTACTTGCTAAAGATAGTGATGTCAAAAAGAAGAAAGACACAATTATTGTAGATTTGAATGACTTCATAAGGTAAAGTACAATTGAAAACAGTAAAACAAAACATTTATAATGCAGTAATTACATGTACAGTATTATAATTACATTATAAAATTTCATATTGATGTTGGAGGATCCATTAGTCCCCTACCACCAGTCAGAAGTCTGATGGTAGGGGATGGTGTCAGAAGTCTGGTGGTGTCAATGGTAGGGGGATGGTGTCAGTGGTGGGGAATGGTGTCAGAGAAGTCTGGTGGTGGGGAATAGTAAATACCTAAGTGTAGTTACAGGATGAGAGCTACGCTCGTGGTGTTCCCGTCTTCCCAGCACTCTTTGTCATATAATGCTTTGAAGTTACAGTACTGACGGTTTTGGCCTCCACCACCTTCTCACCTAACTTGTTTCAACCATCTACCACTCTGTTTACAAAAGTAAATTTTCCTATATTTCTCCGGCAGCTTTGTTTCATTAATTTAAATCTAAGACCTCTTGTTCTTGAAGTTCCGGGTCTCAGGAATTCTTCCCTATCAATTTTATCGATTCCCGTTACTATTTTGTATGTAGTGATCATATCGCCTCTTTTTCTTCTATCTTCTCTATCTTCTAGTTTTTCCATATGTGTTGCTAAGGGCTATTTGGTCATTGTCACCCACAGGTGCATAAAAAAAAAATCTTCTAAACCTGTTAATTTGTGTTCCCTGATCACGGGAAAAATAATAAAAAAAATTGTAAGTAGCATATTTTGCCCGCTATAGGGCGGGGAAATCTGGCAAAAAAAAATAAAAAGAGGCGCTAACTCAGCATGCGTCCGAGGTGGTCTGCTTTGCCCCAGCTGTCAGGCAGGAGTGGACACAGAGATAATTACCTAATTATTTCAATGTCTCTGATTTTTCTTCATTTTTTGCTGTAATATTATTCAGTAGTGTGTAGTGTGATATATTTATATAATAAAATGTGTGAATCATCACCGTACTCAAAATTATGGTGTGTATATTATTGATTCAATTATTGTGCTCATAAAACAATAAACAAATACTTTGTCGGATATTAAACTATATACACAGGTTACATGTATGTATCTGCATGTTTTGTTCACCATAACGAACTACAAAGTTGATATTCCGAGTCAAAAAGCAGCGAAGTGTGGCCACATCTGCCAGTCGGCCTCTCGCTGCCACTCCCTCCCTTAATGACTCCTTACTCGCCCACATCCTCCTCCCACCATACTGTTTTTGCTTTTATACTGTTTTTGCTTTTATTCACTATATACAGACATTACATATAAGTATCTACATCTGTGTTCGCCATAACGAACCACTAAGTTGGTATGCTGAGTGGCAGTGGCAGCCAGTGACAGCCCACCACTGAAACAGGGGGGGTTGCTATTGCGTCGGTTACGGCCACCAGAAACAGGGGGCCATGACCGACGCAATAGATACGAAAACACCAGCAAATGTGGGAAGCAAGCAGACTAGATAGACGAAACACTTCCCTATAGCAGAAAACCCCGGCAGGGGCAAACAGACCCAGAACTGCTAGCAGGCATCCCTCACAACCCCGGGAACCCACAACAGAGGCCCCGGGGAAGAGCCGTCCTCCACGCCCTCTGCCCTTAAAGAAAAGGAAGAGTCCAAGGGCAAGGCAGCAAGAAAGGGCCACTGGTAAGACCCAGAAGCCTTGGCAGGAGGAACAGGCTCGAAAACCTCGGTCCCCAACCCGAACGGGGCAGCCCATGATACCGCCAGAGTCTCGGCCCCAACTAAACCCCACCCCGACCCCGAAACCCACAGACGGTCAGGAGCTGGGAACAGAGAAGGAAAAGGGCGAACAACACTTAACCAAACGGGGCAGCCCCGGGATATCCGAGTGGGAAACCAATCTAGCGCGTTGTAGCAACCTAAACCAAGCTTGCAACGCGGATGCCGCCTGTACTCTGAACAGTAATAACATCAGGAGAGTACTGGAGAACAAGCCGAGAACACAACTCGCAAGACTCCGGGTCAAGTTGTCGGTGACCCAACAGGTAGCATGATGGAGGTAAAAGTGGCGACTGTCACCTGGAGACAAGGGCACAGCAACCAACGAACCCGCTAAAGACAGGTTGGAACCCAGAAGACACATTCAATGGTCCACCGAGCCCTGACAGGGTTTTCCAGGACCCGTAGGGGTAACAACTACGGGAAGCCCGGGCAAGGTGTTGCTAACCGGTTAAAACCCAAAACTAACAAGGGGTAGAGGACAACACTGAAAACCTCTGCGACGTGTACAATCACGGGGGCTCCTAGCAGAGGGCCACCAAACACTACCAGTGAAACCATAGCCACACTAGGCAGACCCCCACCAGGCAAACAAAAATAACAACAAAAGAGAAACCCAGCAAAAGTGCACCGTCTCCAGAGGCAACAGGAACCAGTCGCTGCATAGGTAGTAGGTCGCGCAACACCTTGACGCCCTAACCAGCATAATACCAGTCCTTACCCAAAGCCAAACTAGGACCTCAAGCCCCAGCTGGCCCCTAGTGCGAGGCAAATGTCGAGCAGCAAGAACCTCCATGGGAATGGTTCGTACACACAGGGCGCTTATGGAAGGAAGCCCCTAAGCACATGCAGCCCCGGTACTGATGAGGAACACTTGGCCACTTCACAACACAAAACACGGCAGTGAGCACCACGAAGGCAAACACCGCCTAGGAAACTGAGGCCAGAGAAGCGATTGTCCCGGTTGACATTAGCTTACAAACTGATGCTAGGCAGCCGCCGCAGCGAAGTGCAGGGCCCCCCCCCTTCCCCCTCTCAGGGTGGGGAGGGTATGTCCATCTTGAATTCTCATGGAGTTGTGAATATTGCAGAGTAAATACATAGTTTATTATGCAGTTAGCACTGTATTGATTATGTAGTTCTGTATGTTGCATACTACATCTACAAATACCATCCATGTATTTAAAAGCAATTCTGAAATAGGAAAGTGTAGCATAGCCTCCTCGCACAATGTTCTTTGTGTGGTCTTCAGGTAATAGTTTTCTATCTAGAACCACCCCGCAGCTAACAGCTGAGTGAACAGCGCTTCAGATTCGTGGTCCTGAGGTTCCGGGTTTGATCCCGGTGGAGACAGAGACAAATGGGCAAAATGTTTCTTTCACCCTGATGCTCCTGTTACCTAGCAGTCAATAGGTAGTTAGTAGGGAGTTAGTCAGCTGCTACGGCTGCTTCCTGGGGGTGTGTAACAAAAAGGAGGTCTGGTTGAGGACCGGCCTGCAGGGACGCTAAGCCCCGAAATCATCTCAAGATAACCCCCAGATCTCTTTCTTTATCAGATTTTTTTAAAGATGTCTCACATAATTTGTAGGTTGTGTTGGGTCTATGTTCTCCTATTCCACATTCCATAAATTCACATTAAATTCTATTTGGCAAGTGGTGCTCCATACACTTGTCAAGGTCTTCTTGAAGGGCATGACAATCATCTAAGTTTCTTATCTTCTTTAGTATCTTAGCATCATCAGCAAACATGTTCATATAATTCTGAATTCCATCTGGTAGATTGTTTATGTAGACATTGAACATTACCTGTGCAAGAACTGAACCCTGTGGTACTCCATTCATGACATTTCTGTGACTACACTTCAGTAATTACAGAACTAATTTTACACTTCTGGGTCAAAAATATTATCTTTTACAATTAATTTGTTTTCTCTGCATATTTATGAACCAATTGTTGATTTGCAAACATGTGGGGAGGATATGGTTAGGCTCTGGAAATTAGTTTAATTCAAATTGAAAACAAGACTGCTTTTTCTCAGATTTATTCGAGGCCAGTGGATTATTAGCTCTGTATGATAATGAATAGCTTGGCATACCTTCTTTATGCTGTGATCACTTTGACACTTTATTCAGTTTAAGGTTATTTAACTAGCTTTAATCAGCATAAGTTTATTTAACTTGTATCTGTTTGTGATCTTACTCCTTTTAAATTTTGCAGGATATGAAAGTCTGAATCCTTATGCCCTGCCACCAGCATTCTATCAGCAGGCAGCACTTATGGCTCAACCAGGCATTGCAACACTCGAGAGGCCACGTTACAGTGCCACTGGAGAATAAGGCTAGTCATCCCCGCTTTTTCCCACGTAATGGTATTAAAATTACCGTGCACATTCAAATACTCTCTTAACATTCCTTATTTACAACAATACACGAGGAAAAATGTTGTAAGCCAAATAATGTTACAATATGAAGCTGCTTTACAGTGCATGCTGTAAATCGAGTTCCTTCCAGGTATCTTGTAAAGTTGCTCAGGAAATAGTGCTCAGTTCTGTCCTCAGTCAACAACTGCTCATGTACTTACACTGTATTGCTGCAAATTTCTGTAATAGCATCTTCAATCTAGTTGCTTTAACTGCAGTTATATATAAACTTTTCAAATTGTCTCCAAGTTAGTTAAGTTAAATTGTCTCATGTTAAAATTTATTTTATAAGAGATCGGAATTTGCACATATGTGATAATGTGCAGACTTCTTAAGATAACATTTCACTCATGGCTGTAAGTTAGGGAGATGGTGACGGATGATACAACTGCAAGACGAATTTAAGAATGAAGTCATAATCGGTTTGTGTGCACAACGTCCTGCTTTGTGAACACACATGGTCATTCCCTGTAGGTGTACTAAGCCCTGGCATATCCCTTTCCCCATGCTGCCTCAACATTTGTTCTCTCTCTCAGACTATTGCTTTGTTTGTGGCAGTAATGTATTCAAATCAGTTAAATTTGGGTACATCTGAGAGATTTAAAGAGGAGTCGGGGAGGGGGAATAGAATGGACATATTTGAACAAGATTGCTGTGTCACTGCATTGTGTCTTGTTTTTGCTAATTCCTAAGGGCAATGAGGTGTGTGTGTACGTATATTAATATAAAAAAAAAATTATATATATATATATATATATATATATATATATATATATATATATATATATATATATATATATATATATATATATATATATATATATATATGCATATGCATATGCATGCAGAAAAACCACATGTGAAAGAGAGAGAATGCTTAACCCGTTTTTGGCTAATTCGCCTTCATCAAAGCAAAGCAGAATGAACAATTCTAACATTCTACTTTGCTCTGATGAAGGCGAATTAGCCGAACACGCATTAAGCATTCTCTATTTTTCACATGTGGTTTATCTGCATACTCGGATCAGTGTTTTTGTGATCATTGTTGCATATTATATATATATTATATATATATATATATATATATATATATATATATATATATATATATATATATATATATATATATATATATATATATATATATTTATTGTGTGTGTGTGTGTTTAAATCACGAAAATTAACACACGATGAAAAATGTGACGGTGTCAGACCACGAAGGAAGAATTGAAACAGGAATTTCCTTAAGTACTTTTGTATATTAATACATCTTCAGAAGGAATGTACTTAAGGAAATTCCTGTTTCAATTCTTCCTCCGTGGTCTAACACTGTCAATATATATACATATTATATGTATATATATATATATATAGTTAAGTTACTAAGATCATTGGTAACCAAAATAAAGAATTACATATGCTACCCAGCATTGAAAATGAGGGTAGGCACATGAGGGTACACTAGCTCCAGAAATATACAGTCTAAATGTTCATTAAAATTATATGGAACTTGAGTGTGCAGCTTGCTGAACTCACTTTTGTGAAGGTGATATACATATTAGTGAAGGTAGAGAACTCATAGACAAATATTCTCATTTGTCATGAGAAATGGACATGTTTTCTGTGTAGAAACTCTCAGAAGTGATGTGTGTTTACCCTGATAAAAATAAGTAGATTTTTCTGTTGGATCCTTGAAAACGAATTCCTGGTTGCCATGAGAGTTGGGAATACTTACCGTATATGCCGGCATATAAGTCAACATTTGAAGCCTCAAAATATCACTCCAAAACCAGGGGTCGACTTGTCTGCCAAATATAAATTGTGAATTTTTATCACTGAGAGATAAGCAAGTGAAACAATCCTAACATTCATTGTACAATGCATGCCATACATCTTGCAGCCCATCACAATTATTTCATACTGAAAATCATGTTTGGTAAGTATATTTAATGTAAGTACAGTACTACCATATAATAACTCGCCATTGACATACCAATGAGGTAAGGAGAAAGGCAGTGAAAGGAGGGAGGGAGGGAGGGAGAAAGTGAGGGATATATGTTATGAACTATGCAGTCAATGTGTTGTTTAATTCACTGACATAGCACAAAGCTACCAAACCCTCCTGCCTATATAAATTTTTTTTTTATCTTAGTTGTATAATACTTATTCCATTATATGTCGAGTTTCATGTACAGTATTACTGTACATTATTAATCATCAACCTGTTTTATTGCTTCCTGTTTATTAGTTAAACATACATTTGTTCTACTTATGAATTATGTAGAGTTGGTATGTGACCTACAGCAGAGAGAGAGAGAGAGAGTATGGGATCTTGGGGGAAGTGGGAGGTCTCAGTGGTTGTGGAAGGACGAGCCCCATCTGATACGTCTATAACGCTTGACCTTGTTAGCCATCATCATATATAAATTTGGTTACAGATTTTGTTTAGTAATATTACTAGAATAATAAAAACTTACAATAAATAATTTATGATACCAGTATTTTTCCATTAGACAGAAACTTTCCAGGCTATTTCTGGCAGGCCATCTAGAAACATGGGCATCCCACCTTCCAGCTAGTGGTTGTGTACACATATGGTTCTCTTTGGGAGGGAGGGAGGGGGCCATGCTGGCTAGTGTTGGGTTTATGTGGGTCTCATGTAATGAGGGAGGGAATAGAGATTTCACTGAGAAAATTTTTAATTTCAACCTGTGATATTAAGGGAATTTAAAAGTGTTATGATGGGAAATATTTCCACCACTCTATGAACTCTGTTCCACTTGATATTAGCATTCTATATTACCAGTATTTCTGTAATAAGATCTTAATGCCATTGTGTTTCTGCTACATAATGCATGTTAATTTGTGTGGCCTTTTGAGTGATACCAACAAAAGAAACTTTGGCAATAGTTTAGCCGAGGCAGGAGGTGACATGACTACAGAAAGAACAAATTCTAGCACCTTATCCTTATGAGGTAAATATTCGTTAAGATACCACATATTTATGAGATACTGTAGTGTTTTTTTTACATACACCTAAACCTGAATTACACCTCAAAATTTTATGGGTCAACCTATGCTCCGGATTGACTTGTATGCCAGCATATATGGTACTTTCTGTGATAAATTGCTAGTGAACTAATGGACAAACAGTTTTCAACTTAAGAGCTTAGGACATAGAAAAGTCTACTAATCTTTCAGTGACGTTTGTGTGCTTTATATGTATTTAAATATTTATGATAACATTTATGTATTAGTTGTACATGAACTGTAAAATATTTATTTTGGGGGAATATGTTATATAATTTTCTTAAAAGATGGCTGTAACTACACATAAGCACCTAAATACCTTCTTGAAATACAGTTGGATTTTCTGCAATCTATGCAAGATGAAAAAGTTACATCTTTATTTGTATGATGAAATTTGTTCAGCTTTGTATTTTGTATAATTGTGCAATATTCTAGTGAATATCAATATTCCATAACAAATGAAGTATTAAAAATCCAAATGCATTTATTATTTAATGCAAGTCAGAATTTTAACTTTTCCGCCATAGTCTTTGAATACCTACAGTACACATTAATATAAATTTTTCTTTAAATTGATACATACTTGTAGTGGCCATATAACAAAAATAAAAAAAACAGGATAGCTTTGACATGAAGCCTTAACTATATTGAGGAACAAAATTTTTGCTATACCAAAGGTTAGTGTGTAGAGATATGTAATATTTTTATAATTATATGAACAGTGAAGAGTGCCGAAAGTACTTGTCCAAGAAGAAGTGAACAAGTTGAATTGCTCACATTTAAAAGCCAGTATTGTGAAAGGATCTGACTAACATAAGACACAATTTGATCCTCTAGGTGGTGATTTTATATTTTTTTCTTAATTTGATTTATCATTGGGAACAACATCAAATATAAAAACCCCATTATTTACAACATTTGTCTCGTAAAATAATTTTTGTTTCAAGGATTTATTTATCCGCGTAACATAATTGTCTCTTCTTTACTTTTTTCTGTAATTTCTTTCTTCAAATATTTTGAAACAAATTGCAAAAAAAAAAAAATGGTTCTCTTCTGGAATGTTGTTACCATTCACATGTCCAGACGTTGATCTCTGGCCTCTGTAGTGTACTGTATAAAGGCACAATGGCCAGTAATATATTGTTTTATTAGCTTGTAAAATTTTCATTTATGCTTCATATGCCATTGATAATAGGTACATAAATTTGCATACATAATTAATAAATAAATATATTATATATATATATATATATATGTCGTACCTAATAGCCAGAACGCACTTCTCAGCCTACTATTCAAGGCCCGATTTGCCTAATAAGCCAAGTTTTCATGAATTAATGTTTTTTCGTCTACCTAACCTACCTAACCTAACCTAACCTAGCTTTTTTTGGCTACCTAACCTAACCTTACCTATAAATATAGGTTAGGTTAGGTTAGGTAGGGTTGGTTAGGTTTGGTCATATATCTACGTTAATTTTAACTCCAATAAAAAAAAATTGACCTCATACATAGAGAAAAGGGTTGCTTTATCATTTCATAAGAAAAAAATTATAGTAAATATATTAATTCAGGAAAACTTGGCTTATTAGGCAAATCGGGCCTTGAATAGTAGGCTGAGAAGTGAGTTCTGGCTACTAGGTACGACATATATATATATATATATATATATATATATGTCGTACCTAGTAGCCAGAACTCACTTTTCAGCCTACAATGCAAGGCCCGATTTGCCTAATAAGCCAAGTTTTCATGAATTAAAATATTTTCTCTAATTTTTTTCTTATGAAATGATAAAGCTACCCATTTCATTATGTATGAGGTAAATTTTTTTTTATTGGAGTTAAAATTAACGTAGATATATGACCGAACCTAACCAACCCTACCTAACCTAACCTAACCTATCTTTATAGGTTAGGTTAGGTTAGGTAGCCAAAAAAGTTAGGTTAGGTTAGGTTAGGTAGGTTAGGTAGTCGAAAAGCAATTAATTCATGAAAACTTGGCTTATTAGGCAAATCGGGCCTTGCATAGTAGGCTCAGAAGTGAGTTCTGGCTACTAGGTACGACATATATATATATATATATATATATATATATATATATATATATATATATATATATATATATATATATATATATATATAATTATTATTATTATTATTATAATCACAGTGCAGGTTGTATATAAATTTGCAATCGAGGAAATTTTCCTTTCCTTGAGGAGGAAAAAGAAACTGATTTTTTAAGCTTTCATCTATATTTCAAGACCTCCTCAAGGAAAGTGAATAGACATCTTAAAATATGGACAAAAACTTTTAAAAAAAAATTCCCTTTTCTCCTGTGAGTTTCTCCTATACATCACATGATACACGATTGATAGATTTTCAAATATGATTACCTTGTTTTTAATTTTTGCCTTTAAGTTTATTAAATAAGTAATAACGAAAAATTAACAGAAAGAACTACAATAGATGGATATTGCATTGTAGTTTCTAATTACAATTAGAGTGCTTTATGCAAATTGCAAGTTACCAATTAAATAGCATTACACAAGTATTTTGTAAATATTTCTTGTACTTAATATTTTAGTTTCCTGATGAAACTAACTGATTTAGTTTTAATTTTTGATGTTACTGTATATAATCACCATTTTAGAATTTTTTTAAAGATGCATGAAAAGATTTTTGCAGATTTCCATGAATCCTTATTTTGGGTAGGATCCCAAACTATATACTCTGCCATT